TTTAGTTATTTAACAATCCTGGAAATGAAAGGATTCCCATGAATTTAAGAACATCCTTCTTACCTTAATTAAGGAAGCAAAGTATTTGAAGACAGTGGTAAGAATTATTTCTAAATTTACTTAAAATCTATATAAACTATACATTTTTTTGCTGGTACCATAAAGTAGAATTTAATCTGGAAATGGCTGAAAATAGTCTGAAAAAAGACACTGTATGTACAATGAGGTAACAGTCTGAGACAATAGACCAATAATAGTTTCAAGGAAAAATATTTTCTATTGAATGATATTTCTTCCATTAAATATATATATATATATATATGTAGTTACTCAGTCATGTCTGACTCTTTGCAACCCCATGGACTGTAGTCTACCAAGCTCCTCAGTCTATGGAATCTTCCAGGCAAGAATACCGGAGTGGGTTGCCATTTCCTTCTCCAGGGGATCTATTTTTTTTTTTCACTATTTGAGCCACCTGCAAGCTGAGGGCCAAAATACAAACAAAACAACAACAAAAAAATACATGTACCTAAGATAAATGGATAAAGGTATATGTTGCATTGTTATAGCATTGTTTGATGCTGCAAAAGAAAAGAACAAAGGAAAAAAAAATTAGAAATAAATCGAATGTCTATAATTATAGTTAATAAAAAATATTATTTGACTATAAAAATTAGGTTATGATCTTAATACTGGAGGAATCCTTTGATTTAATAATAAAAAGTTATGGAGTAGTATGAAGAATATAGTCTTTTCTGTGAAATCAATTTTTAAATAAAAACTAGATGTGCATATTTGTGTGTTTATAAAAGCATGGAGCTTTTAATATTGATTGCCCAAGGTCGTGGCAGTACTAAGAGGTTATTTAAAAGAGAGCTTCAGAGCTCCATAATCTACATTACTTCCTCAAAAGCCTCTCTACAGATACATAAAAAGAAGGAAAGTGCTTCCCTGTTAGTTCAGTGGTAAATAATCTGCCTGCCAGTGCGGGAGACATGGGTTCCAACCCTGACTCGGGAAGATCCCACGTGCTGCGGAGCAGCTAAGCTTCTGCACCACGCCCGCGGAGCCGCAGCTACCGAGGCCGCGGCCGCAGCTACCGAGGCCCGGCGCCCTGGAGCCCAAGCTCTTCAACAGGGAAGCCTCCACAACGGGAACCCCAAGCGCAGCAACGGCAGGGCAGCCTGGGAAGCAATGAAGACCCAGCGCAGTCAGGAATTAAAAATTACAACAACAAAAAAAAATTAAAAAGAAAAAGAACTGGAAAGAGTGTTCCTGCTGTTTGCACACAGCTCCAAGAAAAGTCACCTGTTCCTTTCTGCTGCTGCTAAGTCGCTCAGTCCTGTCCGATTCTGTGTGACCCCATAGACGGCAGCCCACCAGGCTCCCCCGTCCCTGGGATTCTCCAGGCAAGAACACTGGAGTGGGTTGCCATTTCCTTCTCCAATGCATGAAAGGGAAAAGTGAAAGTGAAGTCGCTCAGTTGTGTCCGATTCTTAGCGACCCCATGGACTGCAGTCCACAAGGCTCCTCTGTCCATGGGATTTTCCAGGTAGGAGTACTGGAGTGGGGCGCCATTGCCTTCTCCAAATCTGCGTGACTTGAAGAAAATCAGTCCGTCCGCTCTGTAATTTCAAAACCTAATCAAATCACTACTCCTAAACAATGCTGCATGGAAATTCTGAAGTCTTCTTAGCTTCAACAAAGTGAAATGGATAAGAGACAGCTTTTTCACATACATCTTTTTTTTTTTTTAATTAAGTTACCATGCAATATTTTCAAAACTTAAAATGATACTCTAAAAACGTTGTGGTGGAACTAATTAGGAACTTATACCACTGTGTGTTGAGCAGGGGAAACGGGGAAGGAGTTTAGGAGGAAACTGTTCAGTGTTTGGGAGGAGTGTTCAGTTGTAACTACCAAAAGTAATAGAAATGTTAGTTGTCTTATAATTGGTTTGTTCATGTTCCTTCATTGTTTTCCCCAGCATTTTTTTCCCTTCTCTCTGAACTGTACCCAAAGTCTAGACATTCTTAGCTGTTAGGACTAGAAACAGCCAAAGTTCTTCCTCAGATCATTCTATAGTCAATTCTTTTTCACTTTCTCTTTGAAGTTTATCTTCCAGCATTTGTTTCCAAATTCACATACTACATTTTTTCATATAAAGTACCTGTTGCTAATATAGTGGCAAACTAGATTTAGGATTAGTCTTCCAGAAATTATGAATTTGCCCAAGCTATTGGTCTTTCATTACCATGACCATTTCTCCTTACAATCAAAGTGCCCACCATGGAACAAAGTTTTCTCTGTGCTTATTATCTAAGAAAAGTTACATAATTTAAGCTTCAACTCTCATGCAAGCAAATCAGGAAGTTTATGCATACATAGTATCTTGTGAATAACTTCAATATATCTATTGTATCATGTGCATGTGCATGTGACTGTATCCCCATAAATGTAAGCTTCAATAAGGCAGGCATCGTGTCTTTTATTTCGTCATTTTCCAGTGTCTAGCAGAGTGCTTGACCTAAGTACTATTAAATGTTCACTGGATACATAAAAGTATAAACAAATGAACATTTAATGAATGCCTACTTATTCCAAGAATACAGTTATTTGGGCTTCCCTGATAACTCAGCTGGTAAAGAATCCACCTGCAATGCAGGAGACCTGCGTTCTATCCCTGGGTTGGGAAGATCCCCTGGAGAAGGGAAAGGCTACCCACTCCAGTATTGTGGCCTGGAGAATTCCATGGATTGTATGGTCCATGGGGTTGCAAAGAGTTGGACATGACTGAGTGACTGAACTGAACTGAACTGAACTGAATCAGACACTTAAGATACATCTTCAGTGGACCTCAGTTTAAATATTCAAAACCAAATACTTTAGAAGTCTTTCAGTTCAGGTCAGTTCAGTCGCTCATCTGTGTCCGTCTCTTTGCAACCCCATGGACTATAGCATGCCAGGCTTCCCTGTCCGTCACCAACTCCCAGAGTTCACCCAAACTCATGTCCATTAAGTCGGTGATACCATCCAACCTTCTCATCCTCTGTCATCCCCTTCTACTCCCACCTTCAATCTTTCCCAGCATCAGGGTCTTTTCAAAAGAGTCAGTTATTCTCATCAGGTAGCCAAAGTATTGGAGTTTCAACTTTCCGTATCAGTCCTTCCAATGAACACCCAGGACTGATCTCCTTTAGGATGGATTGGTTGGATCTCCTTGCTATCCAAGGGACTCTCAGGAGTCTTCTCCAACACCACAGTTCAAAAGCATCAATTCTTTAGTGCTCAGCTTTCTTTATAGTCCAACTCTCACATCCATACATGACTGCTGGAAAAACCATAGCTTTGACTAGACAGACCTTTTTTGGCAAAGTAATGTCTCTGCTTTTTAATAAGCTGTCTAGGCTAGTCATAACTTTTCTTTCAAGGAGTCTTCCAAATGTTTTTTAATTTCATGGCTGCAGTCACTATCTGCAGTGATTTTGGACCCCCCAAAAATAAAGTCTGTCACTGTTTCCATTGTTTCCCATCTATTTGTCATGAAGTGATGGGACCAGATGCCATGATCGTAGTTTTCTGAATGTTGAGTTTTAAGCCAGCTTTTTCACTATCCTCTTTCACTTTTATCAAGAGGCTCTTTAGTTGTTCTTCACTTTCTGCCATAAGGGTGGTGTCATCTGCATATCTGAGGTTATTGATATTTCTCCCGGCAATCTTGATTCCAGCTTGTGCTTCTTCCAGCCCAGCGTTTCTCATGATGTACTCTGCATATAAGTTAAATAAGCAGGGTGACAATATACAGCCTTGACGTACTCCTTTCCCAATTTGGAACCAGTCTGTTGTTCCATGTCCAGTTCTAACAGTTGCTTTTGACCTGCATACAGTCTGTAAGTAAATAATAAATCATCATTATTATATTAAAATATATAACATGTTCAGTTAGATTTTTCTTTCCCCAATTCTCATGGTAACTTCCAAAAACTTCTGAAAATCTCTTTAACAGAACTTGCTTGGCATAGCAAAAAGGAGAGATATGTGTGTTCCAGCCACTGAGCAGGGCCTTGCCTCATTAGCTCACCTAGGTATGGTTTCTCTTTCTTTAATTTGCTAAGTCTTTCTACACCCAAAGGAAGTAAACCACAGTATCTCTAAAGATCATTTCCTTCTCCTTACATTTTATGATTTTATAGTTTAAATTCTGTCACTTTTCAATTATAATTCTGCTTCAAACTGAAAAAAAAAAAACACATCATCCTGCTTTCTCATATTGGCAAGGCTTGTTTGTATAAACAATCTTAACAAATACTCATGTGATGGTTCTCAACAAGCACAAATAGAGTAGCTATTGATACCAATAGATTTATTGCATATGTTCATCAAATTAATCTATTATTTGCTCAATTTTCACCTGACTTTGTTCAAACAAATACTGAAATGTCTTGGAGAAATCACACACACACACAGAGGCACAGACACAATATAAGCATCCTTTGTGTGGTTCCACCCTTCATTAGCTTTCCTCTTCCATCTGCAAATCAAAACCTCTTCACACAGGATATTTCACTATACTCTTCAGGAATAAGATCCCTTTCGGTCCTGAGAATGTGGAGGGAAATGAGTGTTTTCAGCAACCTGTCTCTAAGCGAAGGATTTCCCACCACCTGCTGCTTTCTGCACTTCACAGCTAGTGTTCCAGCTCGCTTTCCTGGGAGGAGAGGAGGAGACGGGAAGGGAGGGGTGGAAGGTTGCAGCGTGCAGGAGGCGGGATTGAGGGACGGGAGGCCGGGGCAGGCGTGGCCCGGCCTGACTGCGGGATAAATACGGAGAGCGGGAGCCGGGGCGCCGAGAGGACTCCCGGGGACGCCTGAGCCGAGCAGCACCGAGGACAGCGACTGGCGGCGCGGGCGCCCTGCGTTCCCGTCTCCCGCAGCCCGGGGTTTCTTACACACACACACACACACGCGTTCACGCTCGCGCACGTGCACAGGCACACACGCGCCTATACCCTGAGGCTCTCACCCCATTCAGCGCTGACACACACATACTCCACGCAGACCACCCACTCCGCTCTACGATGGCAGAATCCCACCTGCAATCATCTCTGATCACAGCCTCACAGTTTTTTGAGATCTGGCTTCATTTCGACGCTGACGGTGATTATCTTTTATCTTTTTAACTGTTCGAAGAACCTTGTCCCACCCTTTTCCTTTCCTTGAGCCTCCTGATCCGATTATCCTTCATTTCTTTTCTTTGCTTCTTCACCCATCTCCCTAATCTCTCTCCAGTTGGCTGCCAACCATGAACTTTAAAGTTTATGTGATGTTTCTATGTTATCCCAAAACCTTGAAAGTTTTTTTCTTTCTCCAAGGATGATACTAATAGAAGGTGGGGGGCTGGGGTGGAGGGTAGCGAGAGCGAGAGACCCTACCCTGCAAAGTTTCTACGGCCACACTCATCACCCCAACCATCCTCCTTTGCCCTTAGTGGGTCTCTCCCAGGAAGAGACCGCTGCCCTGTCGTGTATCTTTTGCGGGTTAATCAATATTGAGGCCAAGATAGGACCTCTCCGTTGGCCGGAAAATAGCTGTTGTGGAAATTGAACTGGGAAGAAACTTAGAGTGCAATGTCTAACAATTGGGGGCTTCTTTGTCTTTACAGGAAGTGGTTACCTGGAAGGAAAGGAGCTTCAGAACCTGATCCAGGAGCTCCAGCAGGCGCGGAAGAAGGCTGGTTTGGTAGGTTGAAGTTTGCAAGGGAGGAAAGAGACCTTTGCCCTTGAATAAATATTCTAGCATTCTCATAAAGAACTAGAGAAATCAAATGGTTTCCGGGAACGTAAACATTTATTTACTGAAAAGGGGAGAAAGAGTGCCTTTTGAAATTGTGTAGGGAGAAAGAGAGGGAGAAGGAGGGGGAGACACAGAGACAAAGGAGAGAGAGAGAAATTCCTTAAAGGGAAAAAGCCCTACAATATGAAATCAGAGCTTTTAAAAGATTGTGTACTTGTATTTTAATCGTACTTAAAAGGAAAGTGTGGGTGAGACCTGTTAGCAGATCACCACCTCTTCTATTGAGTTCAGTTAGGTAATTTTTAACCTCTCTTTAATAGCCTGAAAAGTAAAGGAGTAGAAATACATTTCTGCCCCTTGGAGGTCAGGAAACCAATCTGCCGATTATGGATCTCTTATTCTATTGCCAATTATTATTCTTGTAATGTTGATGTGGTTGGAGTGAGGAGAAAATGTCCTTCCTCACTGGGGGTTAATTTGTACAACTTTGCAACAAAATAATGAGCAAGAAATTTAGCAAAAAGGGGATTCATTTCTGTTGTGAGGAAGAAAATCAAAAGTTAGAGATGTAAAAAGTAATTTTAAGAACTTAACACATTTTAAACATGCAAAGTGATTCTCTAATGGGAAGCAATTAGTGGCATTTTTAAAATAAGCTATATTTGTAATTTAAGCTATCAGTTAATTTTTACTAATTATGAATAACTTCCTTTAGGCATAAATTAGCCTGTTAAGAAATGATATTGTCAGCATAGAGATTTTACATTATATATAAACAAATATATATGAAGATACAAAGATATATCTTTAGAGGAAAATATAATTGTGTGAGCTTTTAGCAAATCACCACCTCCAGCACTGAGTTATATACATAATAGTATACATAAATATGGGCTTCCCTGGTGCTTCAGATGGTAAAGAATCTGCCTGCAATGCAGGAGACCTGGGTTCTATCCCTGGGTCAGAAAAATCCCCTGGAGAAGGGGATAGCAACCCACTCCAGTATTCTTGCCTGGAGAAACCCTTGGACAGAGGAGCCTGGCGGGCTGTGGCCCACAGGATCACAAAGAGTTGGACAAGACTGAGAAGTATGGCGATACATACATATGTCTATACATATCATTCACTAATAGTCACCTTTTTGTTCTTTCTAAATTGAAAATTGTGTGGCACACATCTCCGTACAACATATCAAAAGAACACGTAGCCTTCCAGGCTGCTCCGTCCATGGGATTCTCCAGGGGATCTCCTCCAGGGGATCTTCCCGACCCAGGGATTGAACCCAGGTTTCCCGCATTGCAGTCAGATTCTTTACCATCTGAGCCCCAGGGAAGCCCAAGAATAGCCTATCCCTTCTCCAGGGGATCTTCCAACCCAGGAATTGAAAAGGGTCTTCTGTATTGCTGCAGGCGGATTCTTCACCAGCTGAGCTATCGGGGAAGCTCCAAAAGAATGCCAGAGGATACTGAAGTGATTTATAATACATTAAAAGCTATCAGTTGCTAAAATCCAGTGATTTAAATCAAATTGATTTAAAACCAGAGAGCACTCTGGGACCCTGGGTCAGGAATATACCCTGGAGAAGGAAATGGCAACCCACTCCAGTATTCTTGCCTGAGAACCCCAGGGACAGAGGAGCCTGGCAGGCTACAGTCCATGGGGTCACAGAGAGTCGGACGTGACTGAGCACGCACACGACATTCCGGGAATTGTTTTACCAGGTTTGATATTACATAAATTTGAAAGTGTAATAGGACGGGGTCAAATAAAACTGAAAATGTTTTATACTCTCTCCATACCATCTTATACATTACCATGTAAATAAATTCATGCAATATTATCATTATAGATCTAGGTATCTTTGACTAATAATACAAAACATTTTCTTCTACAGTTAAAATACATATATCTAAAATATCTGGTTGGGAAATCTTTCTTACCATAAAACTTCTAATTAAAACCTTTAAAGATGTTTCCAGCAGCTAAATGATTATATTTTAATTTTCCTAGAAGTAATTTTAATATTTATTTTCAGCTTAGAAATTCAGGCATTTAGAAACTCTATAGATGTTTTCAGATATTTCTTTTCCTCTTCCCATTTTAATACATATACTTTTTGTAAACAATGACTTGTTAGAGTTTGTTAAATTTTAGATCTTAATTTTTTTCTACTGCTAAGTTTCCAATCTTAGAATATTGGAAGATGTTATTGTTGGATTATAATCCAATAATACCAAATCTGAGCACAGGTTCAGGATTATATTAAGTTGCTTAATAGCTTGATTATTATAATATAAGTTTGAATAGTTAAATCTAAATCAAGATATGAATTGAAACATTCATGTACTAGACAAATATTTCACTACTGGCCTCACTGTATTAAATCAACTTTTATCTATTTTTTCTTCTCTTTTTTTTTAGAACTTAAAGGTTGAACTTATAAACCAGGTTTCTTTGCATTTCTTGCAACAGGATAACAGATTTTACTGTATTAATGGAAAACTTATTTGGCTTAGCATATTAATAATGTGAAATTTCAAAATTTCACTAATATTAACTGTAGGTGAATATAACATTAATGAAATATAATAACTCAATATACTTTCAGAACTAGCATTTTAAAAATTTACATTTTTTTATAAAGCTTTAACTTATTATCATTATCATTGTAAGTATGTTTTGCACTGTTTAAGGTAATAAAGGCAAGTTGAAATTAATCCATATTGGAAGGGGCTTTTTAAGCCTATTTTAAGCTGCTTAACTACTATTTGTTACCTTCTATTAAAGATATTTACCTTTAACCAAAGTAGGATTTTGTAACACCGGTAATAATAATATTCAGCCTCAGTACAGTCCTCACACTCTATTAAGATATTTATCCCTAGAGCAAATGTGTGTGATAGATGCTTTCACCATCTTGTTAGTTATGATAAAAACTAAGACCTTAATTTACTTTTCCAAGGACACAGAATAGGACATTCATAAAGGCTGACCTATTTTACATTGGCTTCAGTTAATGCAATAGGGCTATTTTAAATGGGCTATATTGAGGACCCAAGGGTATAAATCCAACTTCCTGAATACTAGTTCTATCTATGTTCAGGTCATTAGTTTACTGTTCAGAGCTATCTATTCTGTCAATATGTGAAGAGGTTATGTAAGCAATAGAATAGATTGAAAAAGATAAGTCAAACGAGATGAAAGCTTTCACCGTCCCTCTTCAATATATCTTCTGTACGTAACTAAATGGGAGCAAGAACATCCTCTCGTTAGAAAATGGAAACAAGGAAACACTGGCGAACTGCTCCCTAAATCACTCTTGGAGGCAAAGATCTTCAGCATATAGTCAGTAATCCAAACTAAGGTCATCAGTATTGCCTGTTTCTAATGAAAGTACAAATTGGTCAAGTCATTTTCATTAATCTGACACAAATTTCTCTGATTTTTAATTTGTAAGAGCATTTCCAGCTTCTTCCACCCTGGAAACTGTCTTTATTTACAAATGCGTTGCTTTTGAACATTCACATTTGCTTGTCCAAATTGAAAACACAATATTAACTTCCATGGATAACGCATGTTACAATAAGAAATATGTTATAGGATAATTAGTACAGCAATATAAAATAATCTTCCCGGAAGCAAGTAGTGTTAAGGTACAGTCACAAGGATCACTATATTTAAATTCACTAAAGGCTATGAACAGAATAATTCTGACTACATTATTAAAGGATAACATATTCTCAAAACTAATAATAGAAGGTAAATCATAATGACTGATTCAGAAATTATGTCTTTCATTTCAAACCAGTAAAACTGGTACATTAGTTATATCCTAATTTTCATGAAAAGATTAATCAACATGCATAATTCTAAATGGTTCTAATTCCAGTTTTTCTTTGTAACAAGTTATTAACATGATAACAAGCATACTGTTTGTTTTTTTAAAAAACCTTCTTCTTACCTGGCTTGTTATAATTTTAGGAGTTATCACCTGAGATGAAAACTTTTGTGGATCAGTATGGACAAAGAGATGATGGAAAAATAGGAATTGTAGAGGTAAGGAACTTATGTATTAGTGTAGGTATAGTTTTCTTTTAAGTCTTTAAAAGTTGAAACTTGGATATCAAATCTTATCTTTTCCTAGTGGGGACAATTTTTTTGTCTATGAATCAAGGAAGCAAAACTTTGACTATACATTAACTCTTTTGCATTCTTCAGATATGTGAAATAGTACTTTTTTACTTTTATAAAATCTAATGTCTCAGCTACTTTCTTTATCTCTGCAACCCATTAGAGAAATTGAGTGGATAACTTTGTCCAGAAAAGTTAATAAGGTCATAGTTTAAAATATATCAAATAATAGACATAATTATGTTCTTTATATAATGTTCTTAGTGTATTAGATTGGGAAGTATTCTTAGTCATAATTTACCTTTGATTCAGAGAACTAACCTGGTTTTCAAAAACTGATGTTATAGGACACCAGTGATGTCAATGTGAAATATACTTATTTTTAAACAGCTACTACAAATAGAGTTAAAGAAGGACATACTATTATTATCTTTGTAATTAAAATATTTCCCTGGAGTATACACTTTTCCCTTTGCCTATGCATAACTCATTACTATATAAATAGATAAATTAATAGTAATGGGACTTATAGACTAACATAGAGGCCAACTAATCAAGATATGAATTGTCAAGGATAAAAAAACAACACTGAAATGAACATAAATGAGATGACATAAATCTAATTATTCAAAACCAGTCAGAAATTCTGAAATCAGTGAAATTATAGATGTGGCTATTTGAGAGTCTGGCATACTTTGTGACTCTAGGACAGGGAAGACTGTCATCTTGTATTTAATGCATTTCAACTTAAAGACTCCAGTGGACTCAGCTATTTTTAATTTCTTCAGTGACCCTAGGTTACAACAGTAGCACAAAAAGCATGGATCTTATTCACATAGATTCTATATTTTTAAAAGGATAAGATGAATAAGTCTATTTTGAATCTATATTTTACTGCATATTATATGGGATAACCATTTATGAAGTATTATTTGAGGTCCAATCTGAATGAGAAGCTAGGAGTTACTACCAGATACCTTTTCCTAGAGATTTGATGTAAGGAATTTCCATGAAGCTTGGGAAAGAAACTGTTACATGAAAGAAAGGGATTTCTGTGTGAGGAAAGATAGAGATAGTTAACAAAAGAGACTGAAGAAGTTAATGAAGACTGCAATGAAGACATGAGGAACTTTTATAGCAATGACAGTAAGAAAGAGAATTTTCATTTATTTGTATGACATTACACAATTTTGGAAGCCACTCCAGCACTCTTGCCTGGAGAATTCCTGGACACAGGAACCTGGAGGCTTATAGTCCAGGGCAGAGTCGAACACGACTAAAGGGCCTGAGCATGCACACAATTATGGAGTGTTTTCAAACATGTGATCTCATTTGATCCTCATAACAAAATAAAATAAATTTATAGCTGAGGAAAGCTGTAGCTTAAATAGAATTTCAGCCACTTTCCTCTAGACCACTCAGCTTTTTTTTTTTTTTTTTGCAATTAATAATCTACATATTTTCTGCATTAAAAGAAAATATTTTCAAGCTTCTGTTCATTGATTACTTATGGCAAGGCTTAAATTTAGCCAGGTTGAACGGGGATGCACTAAGTATAGAGCAGTTATTGGACCCAAACACTTGAAACATGATTTGGAAAGAACTGTCAATCGGTGAAAGCAGAAAGAGTTTAAAGGAAGAGAAGGGAACCCACATAAGACTTAATTAGAAAGTTTAATTATTCCAGGACATGCAACTTACTGTTGCATGGGACCCAGAGGAAAAGCTAACCAAGATTTCTCACTTTAAGGGTAAAGAAATCGAAGCTCAGAAAGGTTGAATGATGTGTCTAAGATCCCACCGGCAAGGAGTGACAGAATATTTATACAGGCCTAGATCTGACTCTGATTCCAGAATTCTTTTTATTAATCAGAGTTATCAGCCAAGACACAGAAGGAAGTGAGGAGGGTCGGTACTTGGAGAAACGAGAAGGAGAGAATGGGGGAACAGGGAAGAGATTGCTGCTGTAGTTCACAGGCAGGTTGATCGAACTTAACCTGGTTAAGGAGGAGGGATGAGAAAAAAGGAGAGATTACGAAAAATCATTGGAAGAAAGGAATTGAAAGCTACAGATTACTTGTACAAAATGGAGAAATGGAGAATGGGGAATGCCTGAATTTATAATGTGCCCTCTGGTGTCACCAGTAAGTTGTGTTAAGTCAAGTTCATCCTTTCTGTTTTCCAATCTGACACATTTCACTTGCTAAGAAATCCTATATATAACATGGAACATAAATACACGAATTTCAGCCAGCTTTGAAGGAATAAAAAAAAAAACAGGTTTTCCAAAATTTATAATAGTTTACAGATTCCCATCAGCTCACATCAAGTACATGAACTTTCATGTTCAAAGGGAAAAGAGATTAGATTTGCTTATGTATTGCCCACTTAGTAGGTGTATTCAGGGGCTCATCAAAATCTAATCAAAGTAAACCAAATGGTATTTATGTGGTAGTCTGCTTTCCGGGTCAAATTGACTTGGCTTTAATTGAAATGTGTTGTTCAAAAGATCAGAAAATACAGTGGTTAACTTTCAAACTTTTGTTTTAAAGAAGTTGACTGACACTTTCCAACAACATGCTCTTACTACCTAGACATGTAAAAACATGTAAAAAGAAGGGTAATATACGAATATGCTTTCTTGTGAACTTTTAAGTTTCATGTCTTTTAAATAGATTTTCAAATTCACACAAATACAGCTTGATAATAAAGAGACTGTTGATACAAACTCAAAACAGGAACTCTGAAATTCTGAGATAATTTAACAAATACCATGACAGTCAAAATGTTCTAAATTTATTCAGACTAATAGCTCTATTGCAGAGAAGATTGATTAAAATAGTCAAAGAGGGAGACTGAATGATTTAGCAGATAATAGAAATTCCTTCTCTGGTGCTCACATTAAGTATAGATGTTTCCCTTAGCTGGATGTCAAATCTGCAAACTTTTCACCTGATCACTTGGGCACGGTATGAGAAAATAGCATCCTCTCGAGTTTTACTGTGTCTATTTGTCCAGGTCAGTGCATCCACCGGAAAAATAGATCTGAAAGCTATTTCAGTTGTAAAATTGTAATAACCCTACCAGGGAAGCAGGCATTTTTCTAGACTTTCCTTCTTTTCTTGATAGCGGGATTTAGGCATGTAAGTTTAACCATAATAAATGTAATTTTTTAAATAGTAAGCTAGTTTTCTACCTCAGGCTTCCCTGGTGATTCAGCAGTAAAAAATTCACCTGCAATGCAGGAGGCTTGCAGGAGGTGAGGGTTCAATCCCTGGGTCAGGAGTATACCCTGAAGGAGGAAATGGCAACCCACTCCAGGATTCTTGCCTGGAAAATTCCAAGGACAGAGGAGCCTGGCGGGCTACAGTCCATGGGGTCGTGAAGAATTGGACACGCCTGAGTGACTAAGCATACACAGTTTTCTACCTCGGAGTTCAGGGAAATGACTGACAATAGAATCTGATTTAGAACTTCATTCTTGATAGATTTTTAAAAATAGTTTATCAAGACTGAAGATTTTAATGGCGGGTGATAGTTAAAGGACAAGAGTCTCAAAATCAAAAAGTCAGACTGATTTCAAATCTGGCTCCAACTATAAGCTATGTGATAGCGGGTCATTTACCTTCTCTGAGCCTGTTTCCTTGGCTGTGAACATGGATGACATATGAATATCAACATCAGATAACACCTGTCAAAAAAAGATAAGCCCTGGTACACTAGAAAAACTCAACAAATGTACTTGCTATTATTATTAAAAATAAAAATATTTCATTAGAAAATTTATGCCATTTTTTTAATGTCAATCTTTTCCCTACTCTTATAACTTGTCAAATTCAAATTATTAAATTCAACTAGCCTTTAATTTGTGTGAAAAGATTATTTGCCTTTTAAATTTTCCAATTTCCTGGACTCACTTCTCATTGGCTAGAAAAATATTTCTTTGGCTTCCAAACCAAGAAAGTGAATGTTTTACTAATATGTGTTGAAAGAATCTAACATGCACCAAGATTGTCTTCAGAAATTATGCCTTGTGTGTGCTTTAAAAGATATACCTCAGGCATTTATATTTCTTGTAAAGTTGTTCTTCACATGTCCTCTCCCAGCACCTAGCATAGGTAGGTGCTGTAGTTATCACTACAGTTACCACTAAGTTATCTCTTGCTTTGAAATTGTCTGAAACAAGATTTTTCATTATCTGCCTCCCTGTAAAATTATTGCCAGTGACTATGACTCCCCAGCATGCGGTCTAGTGCCTTGCAGGTTCTGAATCATGGCCACGTGAGCCACAGCAAGGGATTTCAACCTAATCCAAAGCACAGTCAAGAGCTCCATTATGGCTAGTAATAGAAGAGAGGTGGTGAAGATCCCTGTTCTGGGACAGGTTGGTTCCTTTGGGGACCGTATCTGAGTTGAAGAGAAGCAATGAGGAAGTTTATTAGCAAGTGCTCTTGGAATCAGTGCCTGTCCAAGGGAAATAAAAGAACAAAGCTGGGCAGAGCGAGACGTTGGGCTGTGATACAGTCTCAACTTTGGCTGACCTTACAGTGAGCTCTGAACTGGGACAACCCTTCAGAGATGTCCCAAGTTTTGAGTGAGAGAACTAGGTTTTATATCCCCATGTGCCTCTTGGGATCACAGCTCTCGTAAGCCCAGGTAATCTCCCCAAGAGACCTGCCAGCTGAGACCACAACAACACTCCTAGCACCCAAAGGGAACTCTAGATGGCAGTCACAGTGGCCACCCCAACCCCTATCCACAGCTTAGTAGCAAGGTATTTGAATTCTCACAGTCTATGCTGATCCTGGATGGTCAACTGCCTTCATTCGTTGGTTGAGTAAAATATCTATGGAAATTCTTGCAGGTGCCAGGCAAAGAAACATTAATTAAGTCACAGACCCTTTCCTCAAGATGTACATAGACTGAAAGAGAAGACGGGCAAGTAGAGAGAAATTTTTGCCTTCCCACTCTCAGTGACAAGCAATCAATTTTTGTAAATGAAGCTTTGAAAGATTCTCCTAGTAGCCACAGTTATCTGCCTTCCATTCATTTCCTTGCTTCTCTTAACTCTCTTCTCCAACCCATAATAAAGTTTTGAGAGTTTATAAAAAAGCAGGCAGGCAGATTGAAAAGTAAGAAATCACCAATAATCTTGGAACAAGTAATACAGGATACTACTGTTGACAAAATAGAGGCAACAACAGCCCTACTTAACAGCTTGTATAAAAGACCTGTCACCTTGTAGACATGGTCGTAGAGTCAACAGCTGGAGAGTTACTGCACCCAACTCTGAAATTTGAATATTGATTCGTATGCTTTCCCTAGTGGTCCAGTGATTAGGACTAGGTACTTTCACTGCCAAGGGTCTGGGTTCAATCCCTGGTCCAGGAACTAAGATCCCACAAACCACATGATGTGGCAAAAAAAAATACACACACAAAAAGATGATTTGTTATGTTATTTGTTTGTTGTGAAGGGGCTTCCCTCATAGCTCAGTCGGTAAAGAGTCTGCCTGCAATGTGGGATACTGTGGTTCAATCCCTGGGTTGGGAAGATCCCCTGGAGAAGGAAATGGCAACTCACTCCAGTATTCTTGCCTGGAGAATCCCTTGGACAGAGGAGCCTTGTGGGCTACAGTCCATGTAATTGCAGAGAGTCAGACACGGCTTAGCAACTGAGCACACAGCCACATCCACACATACTTACTGCTTCTTTCTTAGTGGCTGGTTTGTCTTATGACAGTGTTTTATGTGTTTAGGACTCATTGCTAATGTCTATAAAATATGATGGCACTGATAAAAAATAAAGGAAAAAAATATGATGGCACTGTATTGAGTTTAACATTAACAGTTCAATTAAATTAAAAGATTGACTATGTTGCATGTAGATATAATATTTATTTTATTATAATTAAACCAACTAGGACCAAAATAGCAGGGGTGAAGAAATATACGTTTATACTAAACACGAAGAACAATTTTACCTTCTCTATATGCGACATTCTTAGAGACCTCTGGACTTTATGCAAGTTATGTGAAGTTTAACTTTTGAAACAAAAGAGGTTAAAATTTCCCTAATTTTACATGTGGTCCTTGCTTGCTAGTTCCATCTTTTAGTTTTTCTGTTTTTTATCTATTTGATGGATTTTGATAAGTAGATTTTTAAGAAAAATTATGATTTTGTTCAAAACAATGTACAGTAATTTTGAAAATCCAAGCAATATAGAAAATCACAATGAAGATAAAAAAATATGCTCACTACAAATCATGTTAAGTAGGTATTTTTAATGAAGTAAAATTATTAAACAATTACAAACATTTATGTCAAGTACCTAACATGCTGAGCACCACACCAAGTATTCAGGGGATGCAGACAAAGAATAGTCTTTGCCCTCCTGAAATGGGTGGTCTATGGGTAGGTCTACCAAAAGCTTACAAAGTGGTATCTGACAATTTACGTACCAATAAGGAAAGAGTTGGCACTGGCTATTTCCTGTTTCCTAAAGTAATGCTTGCATTAATGCATAACCATACTAGTGACCTTTGTTTGGAAATAAGAAAATGTTTTCTGACAGTCATACCAAACATCTTAACAGTATATCTGACTCTACCCCTTACTTTCATCCCATTATTAGTGCCTGAATGATTCTAATTTGAGATATTATTTCAAAGGCCTAAAAACAAGATAAGTTAAAGGACATATACAGCATAAAGAAGCTGAGGTTACTTGCATATAAGATAGAATGATGCATTTTATATTTTAAATTTTTTAATGGACCTAAAAGGACAATTTTTTTAAAAGTGTGAGAGTCTTATATAACTTGGTAGATTTTGACATGTATGCTGACCTAAAGGTTAATCTAGTCCACAGGTTTTTTAGTCTAAAATTCACAGATGAGGGTCCATGCCTGTACTTCAGCGGATTCACCAACTTCTGGAAATTAGATGAAATATAGCGTTGTAGGTTCATTCTTTAATGGTGAAGATGCAGTGATTCTAACAGATTCTCAAAGTCATTTTGAACCCAGTACATTTAAGAGACAGTGGTTTCTATTTCAACTCCTCATTTTAAGTGAGGAGCATGCTAAGTTCCAGAAACGGCTGAGGGATTTGCTGGGGACCACAGCTAATTAGCAGCTGCCCAGGAATAGAGCACACACCTTCATTAGGCCGCCAGTCCAGCTCCCGCGCCCCCTGCGCACAACAGATAGATTGTACTCATCTCAAAATGGGATCTGGAGTCCTTCCCTTCTCCAAAAAAAAAAAAAAAAAAAAAAAAGGAGCACTGAAGTTACAAAATGAGATCTTAGGAGAAATGTCTTCGGGTCACTCAAGGGAGATCATCAAATAAAATTTAAGCCCTGGACTCAAGCAACAGATGTCCTTTTAGCAGACGCCAAACATTTGAGAACTGATATTCCCTATTGCCATTCAGCCCCCACTGCTCACTGTTAAGTGTCTGTTCCCATCTCTCTCTATTGTTTTACCATTGTCCTGAGTTTATATTGCATTGCATCTCTTAACAAGCTTTCTCCTCCGACTTCAGAATTCATTTTTGGCCTTGTGTCCTCTCCGCTACATTCATCTCTCTCAGCCTCTTCTTCTATGAAATGTATGGTCCCACGTGTGCCATCCTCCGGGCCCTCGCAGGAAAAGGCCTGATCTGTGGCACAGGAAAGGTGCAGGGCCCGAGCCACCGGGAGGAGCCTGCTCGTGTGTCTAGCGATGAGAAGTGTCAGCCACCGTTCCTTGAGCGATGAGAAGGCAGCCTAGGCATGCCTGCTGCAGCCTTCTCGCTGACCCGAGAACCGGTCCCTCGAGGGCAGCAAGCGCTGCAAAACACGGTGGCGCTTTGTAGGGACAAAGTACCGAAAGGGAAAATCGATGGCCATGTTGCTCCTCGCCTAGTTTTCCGGGTAATAAAATTATGGTCAAGCAAAACTAAGAGCAGGAAATGAGGGAGACTTGCGTTCAAGCGCCTTTGACCAGCTTCGTCCATCTTTCCAGCTGGCCCACGTGCTACCCACAGAAGAAAACTTCCTGCTGCTTTTCCGGTGCCAGCAGCTGAAGTCCTGCGAGGAATTCATGAAGGTACGGGAAACCTCTGCCCCGAGTGGCGTCTTCAGATACTGGGAAGCAGGGACACTGTGACCTTTTCTAACGTGTTTGGTCTTCCTTATCCAAAATTATTTACAGACATGGAGGAAATATGATACTGATCACAGCGGCTTCATAGAAACGGAGGAGCTGAAGGTAAGCAAACAAAAATGTGCACATTTTTCCCTTTCAAATACAACTATGAGTTTTGTAGTTTTTTTTAAGAAAAAAAACAAACTTCCCACAAAAGAAACTAACGTTAAGCAATGGCACATTTTCATCCACTCTTCCACATGGTTAATAAAATACCACATCAAAAAAGAGACTGCACGTACTTCTTGAAATTCTGTTCAGCAACTGACATTTTCTGTGGTGTGTACAAATTGTTAATAAGGGAAAGATAGATGATAGAGAGATAGATATATGATGGTAATACTAAGCCAAATAAGTCAGATTATTTCCGTTAAAATTTGACATTTTATTTCAGAAGTTAAACAACTATATAGATGTCTCTTTAAAGATAAAGAAACAACTCTTGGACACCAATTGTGTGCCAGGCACTTTATACATATCTTATTTAATCTTCATGTGAGTTCTGCGGGATTAATGTTACCTCAGTAAGGAAAAAAGGGAAGAGAAGTTAAGCGATGAACTGAAGGCTACACGGAACAGGACATACAGCTGTGATCTGTGAACTAGTTTGCTTCCAAGGCCCCTGGCTTACTGCATCTCAGTAACAACAAGAAAAACAAAGTCTTCATATAATCAAACTTCTGAAAAACTGTAACTTTGAAAATGAATTTAGCAATTCATATCTCAGAAATGTACTTAGGAGCTGATAGGAGAGGAGGGAGATAGGAAGGAAAAGGGAAAGAGATCTGAAATCAAGTCTTGTCTCTGGACAAATCTCTTTATCATTCTGCCTCATTTTTTCATCCTTTATTTGAGGGTAATAACACCTATTTCTCAATTTACTGTGAGGCTCAAGTAAGATGTTACATCTGAAAGATTTTGTGAAATGCAGGTAATATAAATTGTATTATTCACGAACTCAACAATTTACTAGACTTTCAGAAATACAAAACCATCTTTCTCTCATTTCTCTAAATTGACCTCAATACTTCTCAGTCTGAAAGACTCTATTTTCTCTATCTTTAGGATATAGAATAACTAAAAGAGAAACAAATGTTGAGCACCTGCTATGTGGCAGGCATAATACTAGATGCTTAAAATGTATTTTGACATTTAATCCTCAAAGAAAATTTGCAGGGGGGGTATTATAATTCCCATTATACAAAGAAACAAACTGTAATCCAGAGAAATTAGATAATTTTTCAAGAGTACTCAGCTGCTTGGGAAAAGAACCTGACTTTGGAAATAGAATATCTGATAATAGTAATATTTTTTTTCCCCACAACATCAGAAGTTTTCAGCTTTAGTCACCAAGAGTTACCTCTTATGCTGTTATGTATGTAGGGAAACATGAATATCAAACATGGTTTCCTGGTCATAGTTTAACATTGTTTGAGTTACACGTATTTGTATAATTGAGGGCTTCCCAGGTGGCACTAGTGGTAAGGAATCTGCCTGCCAACACAGGAGACTTAAGAGATGTGGGTTCGATACTTGGATCGGGAAGATCCCCTGGAGGAGGCCACGGCAACCTACTCCAGTACTCTTGCCTGGAGAATCCCATGGACGGAGAAGCCTGGTGGGCTACAGTCCATGGAGTCACACAGACTGGAACAACTTAGCACATATGTATAATCACAAAATTGCTAAAGCATATGGAACTAACAACACTTAAAAATGCAAACATTTTTCATGTGAAATCACCAAAAACTATATTTTTCACAAATTTGTAGTTCAGCAACCCACAAGGTGACAGTTAAATTACTGTGTTTTTATTCTACTGGACCAAAAAAATTCTTTTAAAAATCATTTCAAGTTTATAATGAAACTTTAGCTCATTTCCAATACTGACCTTCTTTGTTCTAAATTTTATTCTCAGAAGAGATTCTAAATAGAAGTACTTCTCTCTGGGGAATTTTGAAGATAAGTTGGCATTCTTTTTTAATGGATCTTTCAAGAAAGCTAATTTTAAGATTCCATAATGGAGTAAAACATTGCTTGCTCTCAGACATGACTTTGAATCTCAGCGTCCTGAAGTTTCTCCCAGGCTATTTTTGTGACCACCATTTTAGTCTCTGATGAGGATTTTTAACCCAATTAGTCTCTGACAAAAGCCTCATATGGTTCAAAAATAAAATTCATCCCCAACAGATAACTTTGAATTTTCCATGCTTCACTTTGAATTTTAAGTGGAATGTTTGAAGTGAAAATAAATTTATGAAACCAAGAAAAAAGTCTCCTTCCTTGAAAATAATGAAGTTAGATCATCCCAGCAGAACTAGAAAATTTGGGAGGGAGATAAATGACATCAAAGCTGAAGAAACCCAATCCTTCGGTAATGTCTTAACATATCAGCTCAGTTTTCCATAATTGCAGTAATTCATTTTCTGAACAAATAAAGACATTGCAAATGAACAGCACTAGACAAAGTGAAAAACTATTATATTCTTAAGTACTTACATTGTCATTTATGTGGCAAGCTTTTGAAAGCTTTTATTTGATTTATTTCTCTGGTAAAAAAATTAAAATCACTCCTAAACTCCAACTGTCAAATTAATAATCATCTTTTCTTTCATCCTTCCAATATTAATTTCTACTTTGATGTGATTCATATCCTTCAAGAATTAGGTAACGCCTGCAGCTAACTATTTTAGTTTGAACAGTCAGGTGAAACATTCTAACCAAGGTGCTTTGGACTGCATCAAACCTAAAAGCTAATCCAGCCTCTAGTGAAGTGTGCTTCATACCGGCTATACAGATACAGAAATACAGATTATAAGGGCAGAAAATGCACTTGAAATAAGAGTAGATCTCCACCTTGTATACTAATAATTGTTCACATACCTCTGAAAGGTATAGGGAATCCATTCTGTTTCTTGGGCTTCCCAAGTAGCTCATAAGCAAAGAACCTGCTTGCCAATGCAGGAGACATAAGAGATGCAGGATCAATCCCTGGAGGAGGGCATGGCAACCCACTCCAGTATTCTTGCCTGGAGAATCAATCCCGTGGACAGAGGGGCCTGGCAAGTTACAGTTCATAGGGTCACAAAGAGTTGGACATGACTGAAATGACTTGGCATGCACCCAGGCATAGTGTTTCTTATTTCTTGGAGAAGAATCACATGAGTATCTGTGAAGATACCATTAGGAAGAAATGCATCCATTGGGCTAGCTGGCTTTATAAGTTTTTACTCTGAGTCCTACATGGTGCATAATCTAACTTCTCTTTAAATTGAAATCATAAATGCATAGCATACCATAACATGGTCTGACCCATCAGTTCTCAATAAAAGGCAGATGTCATGCCTCTCAAAGGCAGCATCACTGCTGGATGCCAAGAGGACCTCCCTTCTAATGTTCTCCTTTCATCCAGTCCTATTCTCAAAAAGAGGCTTTCTTTGTATTCTTGGGGTGTTCCATTCCAAGGCAGGCTGTAAAGAAAGCAGATTGTTATTGATGAACTTTATCTGTTTTTTGTCTTAACAGAACTTTCTAAAGGACTTGCTGGAAAAAGCAAACAAGACTGTTGATGATACAAAACTAGCTGAGTATACAGACCTAATGGTAAGACTGATCTTGAAAAGATTATAGCCAAAAGCCTATGAAATATTACGGTNTGATCTTGAAAAGATTATAGCCAAGAGCCTATGAAATATTACGGTGTTCTGGCTAATTCCCAAGACTACACAGGATGAAATAAATAAACCATGGTGTGGGCATTATATGCATACATATATCATTTCACTTGAAAAGTGAAATACCTATGAAATACCTTCTACCTTGTAAGGCTAGCTTCAAGGCTTCCTATATGAGCGTTTCCTTTCTTGTGGAGTTAAGTAATTTTCATCTATCAAAAGATCACTTACTTAGAAATTTATTCTGTAAGGATTGATTCATATTTTCTGCTTATACTCTTTGATGCTGTAAAAGAGAAAAACAAAGTAAATATTTATTTTCCTATTATTATTTGGAAAGTTTCAGGATGTGCTATGTAGTGCCAGACAGCATATCTCCCACATCTTGATACATACAAACACATATTTGCAAGAAAAATAAACAATGATGTTCCAGAAGTCTAGCGTAAGATCACTTTTACTCTATTTTATATTGCTGTGATAAACTTTGGTAATTGACAAGTCATAGAATTGAAATTTTGCACTGAAAGTTTAATAAATGCTAGTTTCTAGAATTTTGCCGCCTATATAGGTAATTGATTACTCAATTACCTATATCAATGCTAATTGATTACTTCTTTATTTTGAATTTCCTTCTCTATGCAACAAATATTTTTTTTAATACAAAATAATGCCTTCTGTCTTTCAGCTGAAATTGTTTGATTCAAATAATGATGGGAAGCTGGAATTAACTGAGATGGCCAGGTGAGTTTAGGAACTATGCAAATATTATCATTATAAGCTGACGTTTGTCAAAAATCTAATGCAGTTATATAATGTTTTTCTCTTAAAAGATTACTACCAGTGCAGGAGAATTTTCTTCTTAAATTTCAGGTATTTCTCTTTTTCTCTACCATACATAACATTTCTCAAAAGGTTAAAATGTGGGATATCTGCCAAGGGAAGCACAATGAAATATAATTGTAGCATTTTAATCTTTGCCCTCTTCTCTATCATCTAGGGAGTCAAAATGTGTGGGAAAGAGTTCAATAAAGCTTTTGAGTTATATGATCAGGTAAAAAAAAAATTGTTTCTTATCTATAATTTGATTTTTTTAGAAAAATTTGGAACATGCTCAAAAAGGGAAAAAACCTCAAACTCAAGGTTATATTTAAAGAAACATGAGCTATTAAAATTACTCAGCCAATTTATTCTTGTCATAGGAAATGAATTACGTTATATCCCAAATTAGACGAATTTGATTCAAATCCTGTGCTACAATTTATCTCCTGTGAACTGTGAAGAAGATACCAAACTCCTCTGATCCTTAATTTCCTCATTGGTAACCAAGAGATAATAATACTCAGTTTGCAGGGTAGAATGAGGATTGAGCTAGATGAAAATATCCTGCAGGGATTCTCCCACGTAGGGTATAGTCAGATCACGTGTGTGAGGAAAGGTTATGCATGACGTCAGCAGTTAACACGCTTGTTCCTTCTAATTTCTCTCCTCCTGGACCAGGCCAGTCCCCTGGAGGCCCTAATACAGCTCTCCCACTGCATAAGGTGATAATGGCCCGCCTCTATTACCGGCCGGGAATATACTTTCCCCACGCCTATGTCCTCCCTCCAGCAAAACACTTGTGATTAATTTCTTACTTCAACGAGAGGTAGTGATATTGTTAACATACAGGGAAATAGTAAATGCAAAATCGCTTTGAAAATTTCAAAGCATTTTACAAATGTAAGGTGCTGAATGAGAGGAAATTCGTATCTGTTTTGGAACTTTGGAGCAGTTAAAAATTTGAGGGTCTGACCTACGAGGTTAGTATATCTGCCAAATTTGCAGTAGGCAGATTTTCTGAGGATTTCAATTATTTCCATTTTACTATCTTTGCCTTTTTTATGGATGAGGTTGCTTACATATTATTTTATTACCCCTCCCATAGGATGGCAATGGATACATAGATGAAAATGAACTGGATGCTTTACTGAAGGATCTGTGTGAGAAAAATAAACAGGTAATCTAGTTACCTTGCCATTTCCTTCTCAAGCAAACTTGATGGATCCATCCAGATGCAACCACACATCTACTTTGGAGAATCTACTTTAAAACTTTATAGAGGAGAAGAAGTAGATTTCAGTTCTGAACTTGATTTCATACTGGTCTGAATCAGTGTTTAACTGTGATAAATAGATTTGAAAAGCTACCTTGTGATTTATTTACATTTGTATAGGAGTTTAATCCAGCTCTTCTTAATGCATTGGTAAAACAAGCAGTTCTGTCTCATATTTTATTACTTGACAGTGGTTAATTCACTTCCACGTTTAACTGGATTATAATACTGTCTATGTCCTATTTAGGATCTGGATATTAATAATATTCCAACATACAAGAAAAGTATAATGGCTTTATCGGATGGAGGGAAGCTATACCGAACGGATCTGGCTCTCATTCTCTCTGCTGGTGACAACTAGGGTTGAAGACCATGACCACTCATTAGTGATACATTGTCTCTAAAAAATAATTGTGCACCATAAGGATGTAGGCTGTCTTTTCTTTTGTATCTGTAAATTTAACTGCATATAGATAATTATCCAAGATCTGTGGCACACTCTTTTCAGATTGTTTCTATACTCTTTGTAATGTACAGTTTTTGTAACCATATGACTGAAAAGGAGGATGTCTATGCTTAGGCCAGTCAATACACCCAATGAAAAAAAAATAACCTAACATATTCTTCCTTCCATACATGTTGTTGGACAAGACTTCCCTCAGAAATCCACCAGGATTAGTCTCTAAAATCCTAGTCTCTGATATTTGTCACTATTGAATAGAAGGATTATACATAACAAGCTAAGCATTCTTATTTCAGACAATCTGAAGTCTGCCCAACAAAATAGTTCTAAGCTGTATTTCCAATTGGAAGAAATGTGCTTTTGCATCTAAAATACCAAACTACCAATCAATAGTTAATCACGGCTCTATGAGGTTAATAGTCTCACTTCACTGGGCAAGAATTTAGTGAATCAGCAATACTTCTACTGCTTGAATTCTTGTCAGTCTACTGGTTCAAGTTGATTTGATGACAAGGAAAGGCAGACAATGCATACATCTACCTAATTCTACATTTGTATTTGTATTTATAAGTCTACTGTCAAAGAGTATGACCTCAACCCATTTTCTAACTGGTTTCATGTCTTGCAGCCTATAATTATTCTAGGAAACTGCTGTTTTATGTCATAGTCTATGTACTATCAGATTAAATTATATATCAAATATCCTGGTGTTTACTTTGCATACTTCTTGGATTTTCTTTCTGTGTAGAACTGTTCTTCTCCACCAAGGGTAACTGCTGCCTCTGAAAATAATTTTTTTCTGGATACGACAGCCCTATTTTTACTACCTAAGTGAATTTTAAGGTAAAATTCACGGCACCCTGATTATTGAATGTTACATCAACAATTTTGTCTATTCTGTGAATTCTATATTTCATACTGATCAGCATTCAAACTAGTTCTATTTCTATCTGCAGATAGTTTCAAATGAGTTAAAAAGAACATCTGGAAAGAAATGCTAATGCAATCATTTATCTTATTTAGCAAGGGTAATTCTAAAACATTCTCTTGACACACATTCAAGCCACAGTTTCATATATTTGTAGCTAGAACATATTATATTGGCTATAGTTGACATGTCATGCTTGGTGATTTCTCATTTTTTGATTGTGAAGCAGGGAACTATGAGAGATGTGTCTCTGAAATTTATAGTTACTACCAAAGAGTCAATGGTTCTGGATGACTTTGAATGTTGCCATTCTATAAATTCAGCACTGATTTTCTCAATTCATATAAATAACAAAAAGTGAGGTATTTCTTTCCCCCAAGAATGAACAGAAAAGAGATTGCCAAAAAATAAAATTTATCATATGATTTCAGTGGTAGACTGGCTTTGCTTTTAGTGTGTAAATGGAAGCACTGGACTTAGGCTGAATTGAACTACTAAGAATAAATAAAAATGAAAATAACTTTAATAATTTCTTGTATTTCTGTTTTCTTCCTCAAAAAAGTCAGTGAACATGTAACCCATGATCAATCCATGGGAAATGTAGGTTACCAAAATTATTACACCCTAAGACATCTAATGGGCTTCCCTGCTGGCTCAGATGGTAAAAAATCTGCCTGCAATGCGGGAGACCTGGGTTTGATCCCTGGGTCAGGAAGATCCCCTGGAGAAGAGTGGCACCCCACTCCAATATTCTTACCTGGAGAATCCCCATGAACAGAAGAGCCTGGTGGGATACAGTCCATGGGGGCGCAAAGAGTCGGACATGACTAAGCAACTAAACACAGCACAAGACAGTTAAATAAATGTACAACTGCCTGACTCATTATTATTGAATTATGGGATGCCTCATTGAATTAATAGGTGTGTCTGACATTAAGATTTACAAAGGAATCTCAATAAACATAATCAAATATTTTTTCATGAAAGATGTTCTCTAGAGAAGTAGGAAGAGTATGCAGAATTTCCCTACATTTCATCTGTGGGTGAACAGCTGTTCATTGCAAAGTATACACCATAACTAGACCAAGTCTGGTACTCTTACAATAATAGCAAGGAAAAAGAAAGAAAAGCAACAACAAAAATTCTGATAGGAGTATGTCTGAGGGAATGTCTTAAGAGTGCTGACAGTAATACGGGCCACAAATTGAGCACCAGGCCCAGCAGGGTGGACTTTAACTCCTAAGCACTCCCAGGGAAAATTCTTACAACTCAGCTAAATTAGTCACAATTACATATAGGTGACAGGCCAGCCTCCTGGATCAGAGAACAGAACGAAGAATGGAAAATGAATCTGAAAGAACAAATGTAAGATAGCTTGTATAACACCTACCTCGTATCATGAAATCCATTCCAAGTATGTTACCAGTCTAAATGGGAAGTATATGCAGACAGCAAGAGAATATCTCTAATACTTTAAGCATGGAAAAATTCCTTAACCAATTATGAAAAAGCAGACTGAAAAATTGAACTCTATTAAAATTAAGAACTCTGTTCCCAAAAATATACTATTAACAGAGCAAAGTTGTTTGTAGCTTGAAAAACCAAACACCAGCGTGTGAAAAGGTATTCATGTTGGCTCACAGTCTTGAGAGTTTCCCAGGTGAAACCCCAAACTGGCTCCAGTACACAGAGGGCATGAAGGGACCTAAGAGAGAGGCAGACCACTCCAGGCTGGTAGGTGGCAGTTTTAGAAAGGAAGGAAACTGACATTCAAGGCTCGGCTGGTGTATTAAGTGAGTAGACCTCCACACTCACCCACCCAAATCTGAGAGTTTCCATAGAGCCTTGACCCTGGGTTCGGTCATGCATTCAAGCCAGGTGGTCTCACAGTATCTTACTTAGTCGTGGCTGAAATAGCTCTGATGTAGGAATGTCAGATGGACATTCCAGGAAAGAGGGAGTGAGGAGCCTGGACTCAGCTCTTGGGTCAACCTGCAGTCAAGTCCACTTGATGACGTCCTTCAACGATTTGTAACACTGACAAAGATACAAATATATAAACATTGTTTTCAAAAAATAATGTTTATATTTAACACAACATAAAAATGTGTAAGAAAGCTGAGCAGGCATTTCACAAATAAAAGGATATCTAACTATCCAAAATAAAAATAAAATAATCAGCTTTATTAGTAGTCAGGAGAAATCAAAATAAGTGGAATACTACCATGCACTCACCAGAGAGGCTAAAGTTAAAGAGATTTTTGAATGCCAAGTATTGGTGAGGTTGTGGCACAGTGAACGTGTTTACACACTGCTTGGTGGGAAGTTAAGTTGTGAAGACCTTGAAAAGCCATTTGACAGTATCTACTAAATTTGAATGCACATATACTTCATGGGCTTCCCAGGTGGCTCAGTGGTAAAGAATCTGCCTGATGATGCAAGAGACACAAGAGATGCAGGTTTGATCCCTGGGTCAGGAAGATAGCCTGGAGGAGGGCATGGCAACCCGCTCCAGCTCTGGTATTTCTGCCTGGAAAATTCCATGAACAGAGCCTGATGGATTGCAGTTTATTGGGTTGCAGAGACACGACCGAGTGGCAAAGCACACACACACTTTACAATCCAGAAATGTCACTTTTAGGCTTAGCAACCTAACAGAGAAAGGTGTGTGTGTCTTCCAAAAAAAAAAAAAGGATATTTAAAGCAAGAAGCATTGTATTTGACATAACCCAAACTAGAAACAATCCAATGTCTACCAACAGCAGAACAAATAACCTGGTACATTCCTATGGTGAAATGTTATGTAACAATGAGAATGAGCACAGGGCACAAGCCTACACATGGACGTCACCAGATGGTCAACACCGAAATCAAACTGATTATACTCTTTGCAGCCAAAGACAGAGAAGCTCTACAGAGTCAGCAAAAACAAGACCGAGAACTGACTGCGGCTCCCACCATCAGCTCATTATTGCAAAAGTCAGGCTCAAATTGAAGAAAGTGGGGAAAAACACTGGGCCATTCAAGTATGAC